TCCTATTCCCCCCAATGGAATAGCTATCTTCAAACGTTTGAATTTGAAGTTGAAAATGATATTTTTGCCAATTTCTCAACTGGCAATGGTGAATTATAGGATTAATAGGATTTTCTTTAACAAGGTAGGACTGTTTATAGATACCATCTATTTTAATGCTTTATTTTAATAAATTTTAAAAATATAACTTAAAAATATGAAATTGCAACTTTAAATGGTTATTCAATGCTAGGTATGGGCTGTAGGTTCTTTTATGTGTACACAAGTGGGCCTTTCCCATTCAAACTCAGGAAATTCTATTTGAGAGTCCATTGTACATCTTCATGGCCCCGACTTCACAAAGCATTCTCAGACTTAAGATAAGGATGTACTCAAAATTGTTTCCCTTATTTTAACTGAAATATAGCCCTTTAAAAAGAGAGAGAGAGAGAGAGAGAGAGAGAGAGAGAGAGAAATGGGGTTTAACGTCCACTTGACACAAAGATGCTTCCACTTGACACAAAGATGCTTCGGGACTAACATATGGTTCAAAAAAATTTTGTTTTAATAATTCGCTTGCGTGTTGGGATCTTTTGCAATTAAGGAAACCGGAGGACCCAGAGAAAACCCACGTGATTGGACAGACGACCCTACTCCTTGTCACATACAACCAGGGATTCGAAACCATGCTAGCTGACTCAATGACAGAGCTTATGATACAGCGCGCACACACTAACCATCCGGCCATCCCCCCACACCTTTAGCAGTGGTGGAAACCAGAGTACCCAGTTGGTCCAATGAAATCTGAAGGAAAGTTAATGCTAGAAAAAATGCATTTTGCCACGCATCTTTCTGCATGAAAAAAAAGCAATAAAATGTCAAAAAACATAAATCTAAAGGCACTTAATTACCTCCTCTGGAAATGGTCCACGTTTTGTAGCTAAACTCTGTGATACATTTAAGGGGCTGGCACCTCTCAATCTGACTGGACCTGGATTAGGGGATAGTAAAGCTGAAGATGAAGCTTCGTTGTCTGAAAATAAGACAAAAACATTTGATTTCTGGACGATGTTTTGCAAGGAATATTACAATCAAACTGATTAAAACACAGTTCCTATTTCATTTCGTTTTTTTATAGTTCAAAATTTCGTTTTACTTGTCTTTACTACACTAAGATCTGGAATAATTGTTATATTACTGGCATTCTGGTTGAAGTGAGGGTTAGTCAATAAAACGGTCTGTTATGGCGAGTTCTTGGCGTACGATGCACAGAACTCTGGGTAAATCACTAGAAATGTCAACATTGATTGATTAATCAATGTCTGACGTCTTAGGGTCAAAGACGCTCATACGACCCCTGACATGACCTTCCCGTACAACCGGCCTGATCTTCATGTAGTGTAAGCAATCGAAAGTATAACAAACGAAACGAAATATAGATCTGTATTTTAATCAGATTGTATTACAATACCAATTGGTTTAAAGATACATTATGGGAAATAAGATAAAGAGCTGTCGGTTCTCACTATAATAGTTAAAAGCTAGATAATGTAATGGGAATCCACTCAACACAAACTAGGTCATTTCGGGGCCGGAGAAAACCCACAATCCTACTCCTTGTCACATACAACCGGGGAATAGAAACTCTGCCAGTTGACTCAATGACAGATCATTTTAGAGAACCTGGCTGGTTCAGAGAGTAAGGGAGATAGAGAGAGAAAAATGGGGTTTTACGTCCACTCGACACGCACTAGGTCATTTCGGGACTAACATACGGTTTATTTTTTTTTTAATTTCAATAATTCGCTTGCGGGTAGTGGTGTTTAGCAATGGGAGGAAACCGGACCAGGATAAAACCCACGAGGTTGGATAGGCGACCCTACTCCTTGTCAAGTACAACCAGGGAATCGAAACCACGCCAGTTGACTAAATGACAGACCTTATGATACAGCGCGCACCATACCAGTACAACTACAATATTCAGGAGAATGATAAAGAAACCAACGAACCTGTGTTGAAAGGATTATCAGGATTGGTCAGAAGAAAATCACCAACACTAACCAACCAATCAAATATACACATTACTTTCATTTTATTGAGTAAAACTGTGAACTGTGTTGATTCCTTCGTAGATCGGTAATGAAGCTCCAACTGAAGCTCTTTGTTTGTCGATTCTGTCTTTGGTTGTAAAATATTTACAAAAACATTTGGTCTGTCGTTCATCGGTTCACCTAATAAAATTGGAAACATTTATTATAAAGGTACATTATGTAAGATTTAGATAAAGAGCTGACAGTTCTTGGTATAATAGTTCAAAAATAGATAATGAAAAAGGAAAATATTGAAAATTTCATTCAAATGACTTTATTCTGAACGAAATTATGAATGTTAGAAGTTTGGATAAGAATATTGTAGTCTTGATTGTTATGATAATAAACAAAGTCTTGATTATCCACTTTTAAATTAAATCATTTCAGTGAAATACTGCTTCAAAATGTGAATTGTATGTATTCCTGACATATAAACTAGGGAAAGGGATTCACTAGTCCGCGGGTTCACTAGTCCGCGGCTACAAGAAAAACTATAAATATGGGTATCAATAAACCTAACCCTAACGCTAACCCAACCCTAATAATATATATACATGTAGGTGGACTAATGAACCCTAGCCATAACCCTAACCCAACCCCATAATATATATCGGTGGACTAATAAACCAATGGACTAGTGAGCATTCCCTAAAACAGGCATAGATTAAAAAGAAGGCTAAAATTAAAACGTACATTTATATCTTGTGTCAGACACGACAATAGCATGAGACGAAAGACTGACATCTTTTGATTGGTTAGAGAAGCTGTCATAGATTAACTTTGATTGGATGAAGTCAAGTTTCGCCAGGGAAACCTCGGAGGATTTTGGACCATCATGTGATACCAGTAATTCAACTGTGACGTTCCGTAAATCTAAATCTATGTTGATACAATTATATACATCACCAGATATCACAGTCTGTAAAAAAAACACAAAAACATAATGTATACATTGGCGTGGATGTAAAAAGATCCCCTGGCAGTATTCACCTTTAACTGCTTCAATTTCATAGATCTGATACAGTAGAGGCTCAAAAATAATTTCAATAATACGTATTTAACCATAAAACAATACTGGCTATTATATTTCGTTTGATTGTAATGCTTTGGTTAGACACAAAGTTGATTTTTTCAAGAAAATATGACATTTTCGCTCTTAATAATTTTTTTTTTTTTTGGAACACCCAATATACAACATTTTGAAACAATATCTATAAAACCTCTTTTTATTGGCTTAGAAATACAACAACTAGATGAAAAGATGCACAAGAAAATTCTCATTCTGAAGAACCAAATAAGTGAATTTCGCAAAATATGCCAAATACGACCTTTAGACTCCCCACCAACGATATATAAATCTTAAAAGCTTTCACAAGATTCTACAAAATGATCAAAGGCAATCGCTGTAATTCAATAAAATTGGACTAAAAAATAAAAATTCTTACAAAATTCTTTGGTTCCTGTAAATGTGACATCATTGGTCTCTGAAATTCTTCAACATTTTCTCCCAGATTGTGAGCTAGAATTCCACGAATCAGTTTGTACTGTTCTAAATCAAGATGGCAGAAGACAGATGACAGTTTTCCCGCCATCCTCCAGTCTGGTGCTGCATGGCTGACGTCACCCTCTAGGTTTCTCTCGAGGCTCAACTCCAGAACACATTTATCTTGGAGCAGACGACCTTTCTGTAGACAAATAAATTAACGATATAAATGCATAATATAGGCTAGTTTAAGGATCATCAATTAGAGATAGAGAGAGAGATGGGGTCATTTCGAGACTAACATATGGTTCAATTTTATTTCAACAATGAGGGGTCTAAAGCAGTGGAAGGAAACCGGAAGACCGGCGACCCTACTCCTTGTCACGTACAACTGGGGAATCAAAACCACGCCAGATGACTCAACGACAGGCCTTATGATACAGCGTGCATGTGCGGATCATCGATGAGTATGGACAACTCAATGGCTCTAAACTCTTTTGATTTGGGTTAAATCAGATTGTCTGCATAATCTGAGACACTGGAATTAACTCCGGGAGCTTCTGGCTACTGAACGAGAACAATACTTTCTTCTACTTCTATTAGTGTTTGACATCCACTTCCACTGATGGTGCATCACAGACAAGTTGTCACTAATTACTTCATTAATCAAAAGGATAAAAGATTAATAACCCATTGTTGATGAAAAGTATTTTATTCTAATCTGTTGTTGTTTAACATCCGCTTCCACAGAGAGTGATATCGCAGGCAAGATGTTTTATTTCATTATGCTTAATGCAAGCGCAGGTGTCTTTTCAGTGGGAGTACCTGGAGTAAACCCACAAGGTTTGAGAAGGTACCCCTATCTCCAAGCCACATACACTCACTCCAGGGATTTAAACTATGGCTGCACTCAAGCTAGAGGTGACCAGTCAGCAAGAGCTCGACATGCTAGACCACTAGGCCATCTCAATTTCCCACGATAATCACAAAGCCACCGGCTATTTTAAATACAATTCAAAATTAATTATTACATTTCATGGCAAAAGTTGTAAGACCACTTTAAATGTCCGTAAAACATGGTAAACACCAGGGATCGAAATCACGACCACAAGTCAGAGGTGACCAGTCAACTAGAGCTCGAAGCATGACACTCTAGAACAATAGGCCATCCGACTTCCCACAATACTCGCTAAGCCACAGGCTATTTCAATAAGTGGCGAAAGTTGTAAAACTACTTGAAATGTCCGTAAAACATTGTAAAATATCAACAACAACAAAAATAAAAAAAGATCTTCTCTGATCAAATTAAAATTATAGCTGAATAGACCAACCTCGCGTTGTATTATAGACGTAGGAAATTCCATATCTGCCGTCGTCACGCTGCCATTCTTACTATCTTTTTTACAGACGCGCTTAGCTGTGTATAGATCTATATCTGTCAATCGCACCCGCCACACATCCAGTAAACATTGAAACTCAGGAGTAGAGTCGTAGACAATCGGTAATCCACTAGAAAGATTCTGAGCGCCAGCAACTCTCACAGTCTGCTGCATGGAGCTTGATGAACTCAGCGTTGGAGGATCGACGCTCGAACTCATCACATCTGGTGATGGAATATCAGCAGTTGTAAAAAAGTCCTGAAAAACAAAATAATAGGACATTAATTTCAAGTAAATCAAACTTTAAAATGCAGGATGAGGTTAAATATAGGAGAGAAATAAAATGAAATGAAATGGGGTTTAACGCCCTACTGTTCTGCTCCGAACTAGGCTAATGAAGACGGGAATACACCATACAGTGTGCTATGAGGGAAATTTTGCGCGGACTACGACCTACTCTTATATCAAATTCCAAATGAAATTAAATGGGGTTTAACGTCCTACTGTTCTGCTCCGAACTAGGCTAATGAGGACGGGAATACACTGTACAGTGTGCTATGAGGGAAATTTTGCGCGGACTACGGCCTACTCTTATATCAAATTCCAAATGAAATGAAATGAAATGAAATGGGGTTTAACGTCCTACTGTTCTGCTCCGAACTAGGCGAATGAGGACGGGAATACACCATACAGTGTGCAATGAGGGAAATTTTGCCCAGACAGCAGCACTATGGCCTACTCTAATATCGAACTCCAAATGTCAAGGAATCTTTTACGTGCATGCCAATGTGTACACAGGACCTCAGTTTTTCGTCCCATTCAAACGACTAGAGGTTTTATTGAGGAAAAACAGTTAAATCTTTACGTTTTATTGAGGAAATACAGTTAAATCTTTACGTTTTATTGAGGAAATACAGTTAAATCTATAAGTTTTATTGAGGAAATACAGTTAAATCTATAAGTTTTATGGAAGAAATACAGTTAAATCTATAAGTTTTATGGAAGAAATACAGTTAAATCTATAGGTTTTATGGAAGAATTACAGTTAAATCTATAAGTTTTATGGAAGAAATACAGTTAAATCTATAAGTTTTATGGAAGAAATACAGTTAAATCTATAGGTTTTATGGAAGAAATACAGTTAAATCTATAAGTTTTATGGAAGAAATACAGTTAAATCTATAGGTTTTATGGAAGAAATACAGTTAAATCTATAAGTTTTATGGAAGAAATACAGTTAAATCTATAAGTTTTATTGAGGAAATACAGTTAAATCTATAGGTTTATTGAGGAAAATCGAATTAGATTTAACTGCAGTTCCTAAAAAAAAAAAAATAGATTCAACTGTATTTATTTTGGCATGATTTGAATTAATATTTCTAAGTGTTTTTGGACAGAAAACTATAAATATAACTATATTTATGGTTTAAATTGGCTGACGAGTAAATTCTCCAGCCGGAAACAAAGAGTCTTGGTTTGAAATACACGTACCTGATTATTAAACATGTCCTCATCTCGAACATCTCTATCTAAACTACCAATAATACTCTGATTCATTGGATCAACCGATGGTTTCGGTAAATATTCCGAATACATACTCTCCGTCATAGATTGGGTTCCATCTTTCTTAGGAGTAGAAGCAGACATCTTGTAAGTATCCGAGGTTGGTGTGCTGTCAGACTGATTCTGTGGATCTATAAACGTTATTGTACCTTCGGTTCCATCGACTTTAAAACAATTTGTGATTCTTAATTTTCCGAGATCGGCTACGAGTAAATCATCCGATTTAGAACTCTGAGGAATCAGTAGAATAGGAGAACCTGCGTCGATGTCGAGTTTTATTCTTGCTCCTCTCATGGCTTGATCTGGTACCTGGAATAAATATAAAACATAATGATTCAATGAGGATCACACGTATCCCTGTTAGTGCATGAGGATCGCGCACCACACATAAACAAACCCAGGAACAAGACGCACAAAATACACAGACATTTCAGGGTGTCAGTTGTAAGCGTACAATACTCTGTAAGTCCAGGGCGTACAATACTTTGTAAGTCCAGGATGTACAATACTCTGTAAGTCTAAGATGTAAAATGATCTGTAAGTCCAGGGCATACAATGCTTTGTAAGTCCAGGATGTACAATGCTTTGTAAGATCAGGGCGCACAATACCCTGTAAGTCCAGGACGTACAATACTTTGTAAGTCCAGGATGTACAATACTCTGTAAGTCTAAGATGTAAAATGCTCTGTAAGTCCAGGGCATACAATGTAAGTCTAAGATGTAAAATGCTCTGTAAGTCCAGGGCATACAATGCTTTGTAAGTCCAGGATGTACAATGCTTTGTAAGATCAGGGCGCACAATGCTCTGTAGGTCCAGGATGCACAATGCTCTGTAAGTCCAGGGCATACAATGCTCTGAAAGTCCAGGGCCTGTAATAACAAAACAATGAATTACAAGAAAGACGTCTGCCAGCAATCATCTTCTAATGATCAATTTGGGTACATAGTACTCGGTGGATGTTCTAAAGGACATTGTTTTGTTCAACTGTATAACTTGTGAGATGCACAGAGACCAAGCATATTATGTTTTTTTAATATCCGTGTTTTGCGTGCTGCATCTGAACGTATAAAAAGTTAGTTTACATGTCTTCCAGCCGAGGCAGCTCTCATTCTTCCTAGTACTTCCTGTAATTGTAGAAAATGCTGACAGAAGGCGAGAACCTCCGTCTGGAAACGGTTGGTATGAACATAACGAACGGAAGCCATCTTTAATTTAAGATAAATATCATATTCTCTCTCGAGATTATAATCTAGTGTTCCATGTCTGAAATAAAAAAAATAAATATTAATTGTTATACTAGAATTTCATGTGATGTTTATAGTCACTGACTTGATCACTTTCATCATGATGAGAGAGAGAGAGAGAGAGAGAGGTTTAACATCCACTTGACACAAACTAGGTCATTTCGAGACTAACATATGGTTTAATTTCATTTCAATAATTCACTTGTGCGTAGGGGTCTTTAGCAGAGGGAGGAAACCGGAGGACCCGGAGAAAACCCATGAGATTGACTCAATGACAGGCCTTATGATACAGCGTGCACGTGCTAACCATTCAGCCATACATAATGTGCTTCAACAGGCATCACCGTCAAGGGGAATAACTGTGCCAGAAAAGAAACCACAGCAATCATTCACTTCAATATTATATATTGAACTTACTTAAAAAAATCAAATTCGAGAGCCTGTCTTCCAACACTTAGAAATCTCTCATGATACAGCTCTCCACTCGGTGAATTGTCCAATAACGAGATGTTCCCAAGTTGACCTTTGACATCTAAGTTTCCGTCTCTCTGGTCAATATGTGTTTCAAGATGTGCTATATTCGCTTTAGCTAATTCGTAAGTCTCTTTATTTAAGACGAGGGTAAAACTCTCTACACTAAAGTTGATATCAGAATTAACAGGCTCCTCCATTTCAACTGAAAAAGAAAAAAATGAAATGAAATGGGGTTTAACGCCCCACTGTTCTGCTCCGAACTGGGCTAATGAAGATAGGCTTTGAGGGAAATTTTACCTGGGCAGGGGCACTATGGCCTGCTCTTATATCGAATTCCAACTGCCAAGGGATCTTTTACACAGGGCTTTGGTTTTTCATCCCATCTGAACGACTAGACACTGACAAGGGGAAACCACGCCAGAAAATCCCGATGAAATGCAGGGATCGAACATGCGACCGCCAGACTAGCGAGCCAGTGTCTTAATCCGAAAAAAAAGAAAACACAATATAAAACTATAAATAAAATTGGATTCAAACTTTAATCCGTTCACCAAATCTTGTGACAGTCGTCTTTTTTTAATCTAACAGAATCCAAATCATGACATTATTATCTACTGTTGACATTTTGTTTTGGTTTCTTTAAATAATAATGAATTTGGGTAGATTTGTGACACTCTGAGGACACGTACCCTGTGTCCGGACGGCCAAATCTTCTGTGTCACACTGTCGTGTGTCTAAGTAGGACTTGACGTTGTGATAAATAAGACTTCAAACTCTTTTCTGTTCTCTGGAGATATCTTTATAGGTTACAATAATATATTCTACAACATCGACACGGCTATTGTTCTTTAGGTATTTAAACGTTAACCACGATTAAAACCTATATGTACCCTGGCTATTTCCCCCAACCGTCTCCCGGGAAAACGCGCTAGTCTAATTTAAATGAAAAGGTGAGGGGTGTCAACTAACAGGGCGGATCCTTGACCATATTTGTTCAAGCGCTGCATTAGAGCACGCCGTTACGTCAACCCTAATTTTATGAAATTGGGCTAATTTGTACTGTACGAGTGGTGCGGAGACCTCTGACCTGATGTCTGATCGTTAACATAATAGAATATCATTTTTAACTAACAGTGACACAACAGTAGCCCTCTTCCAGAAATAACTGGTAGCAGGAACCGTGAGTCAAGTCTAAGAAAGGTGAAGGAATCCTACAGGCGTAGCCTGCATAGTGTCACAGATTAAGTTGTAAAATATGAGATGTTAATTCAACAAACCTGTTTTTTTCTGGATGGAATCGTTACAGACATCAGAAGCTGACATATCAGATATCTTAGCTCCCATTCCCAGAAAATCCATCAACATGACCCACGTTTGAAGGTTGATTGTGGTCTCTAAACATCGGAAATTTATATCAATAAAACGATTGGTCTGAAACAAACAATACAATGAAATGGGGTTAAACGCCATAAAGTGTGCTATGAGGGAAATTTTGCACAGGCAGCGGCACTATGGCCTACTCTTATATCAAATTCCAATCGTCAAGGGTTCTTTTATTACGTGCAAGACAATGTTTACATGGGACCTCGGTTTGTCATTTTTTTCGGACAGCTTCATAGCTGTCTTTGTCAGGCCCTAAGTCCTACACCACTGACAAGTGGAAAACCATATCAGAAAATCACGATAAACTGTTGAGTAAATTCTTAACTTAAGTCTGAGAATGCTTTGTGAACTTGGGGCCTGGCCTCAATTTCATCAGTGTAATTCCTACCTTATTGTACTTATCAATATATTCCTGAGATTTTCTATCTATTAATTTAACGTCGATATGAACCAAGTCGTCTGCTTCTTCTGTAGTATGTGTTGGTGACTGTGATCGTAGCGGTGATGGCGGGGGTGTACAAGGGTACATCACTCTGTAATACAAGAGTAAAAAATGGTTTTACTCCATCGATCGACATAAGAACAGATTTAAAAAATATGTGAATAGATTTGCCCCTTTAAGGAGCCCAATCCAGTGTCTGTGGATCTGACCAACTTCATAAAATAACAAACAGAATAATTGTAACCCAACCAAATTTAGTTTAAATGTTTCAGGCAGTACAGAAAAATGAAATCAAGTAAGTAGAATGTCAAAAGAACAAAGAATGTATGATAGAGAGAGAAATGGGGTTTAACGTCCATAGGTCATTTTGGGACTAACATATGGTTCAATTTTATTTTGCGTAGGGCTCTTTAGCAGTGGGAGGAAACTGGTGGACCCAGAGAAAACTCACGAGGTTGGACAGGCTGACCCTACTCCTTGTCACGTACAACCAGGGAATCGAAACCATGCCACTTGACTCGATATCAGACCGTATGATACAACGCATGCACACTAACCATGTCTGATGTCATAGGGTCAAAAGACGCTCACATGAGCCTTGACGCGACATAACCTCTACATCCGGTCAGATCTTCTTGTAGTGTAGGCCATTGAAAGTATAAAAAAACAAAACGAAATATAGATCTGTATTTTAATCAGATTGTAACAGTCCCACGGTAGCTCCCACGTTCATACAGAAAATGTAAAATACTTACGCGTTTTTGGTATGTGAAGAGCCAGTTTTTGATAGCCGTGATTTTGATGTGGTTTTACCGGGTTGAAAATTGCTGAAACCAGACTCTTCTTGAAAACTTGACGGCAAGGAAGAGGGCATTGTGGGAATAGGGAGTACGATGGTGCTGTCAGGGCAAGAAGTTGAGAGATAGGTACGCTGAGCTTCGCGCACAGTCGTTGAGCTCTGTGAAACCATAATATGTCGATGCAACGAATTTTCTTTTTCCAGTAAATCGGCCATGGTTAAAGACCGTAAACGGAACTGTACATTTGTTAAGTAATTATTATCTTTTTGAAAGTTAAGTGAGAAATCGTGTAGTTTTAAATTGACCAATCCCTGCTCTCCTTCCCCGAAATCTCCTCGTAATTCGGCCTCAAATAATGGCACTTCAAATCTGAAATGTTTGGCCATGAATGATTCTGATTGGTCAGTCTCTGATGATTGCTGGGAGAGTATGTCCACACTTGAAGGTGCTCCCATTGGTTCACGTTCTTCAACAGACTCGCCACTTGGTTTCATCTCATAGTTTGAACTAGAGGAAACTACATCTTCTGTGTATGTAAGATTATCTAATGTTTCTAAAAACTGTTCGTAAACTTCCTTAGAAAGAACTACTTTCATGGGCGTCTTGATACGTGCAGTAACTTCCACAATGCTGTTAGGATTTGAAACTTCCAAACTGTCATGGGCGGATGTATCCCATCTGTGTAAATCACTGTAATCGTCGGTCGTTGTATTAGGATTAATGTAATTAAATTCCATGTTGTCTTTCGTTATCACGAGATCCACAGCCGTGTTATAAATAATTTTATTTCCTCTTTCCTGTGATAACAAATAATAAAATGACTTCTTTCCGACCACAGATTGTGATCCTGTCGGCTGTAAAATACCTAATTTTTCTAAATCGGCTGAAAATAAATTCATGTTGATCAAAGAAATGTGAATTTTATCCGTCTGCTCGGTGAGATCTTCACAACTCGTCATGAATTCCATTGGTTTAGGTGAGTTCGTTATCGTCATCTGACCTAGATGCGCCAATAGAACATGGGCGCTATTTGGTCTCCGTGGAATGACTAGAATAGGCGTCTCCATCCGCGCCATTATTTTTATCACAGACGAACTTTGTTCCTCATTTTGATAACTATCCTCATCTTCTAACAGGATTCCCGCCATGTCCGATAACGAAAATTCACGTTTACTGAAACTGAATCCCACATTATCAGGGTTATCCCCCCAACCTCCAACTAAGCCATACGCTACCTCTGTCGCAGCAGTTTTAATAGATCGCGCCACCATAGACATGTAGTCGTGGAAAGCCGACAAACATTCCGTCAATTCCTCGAGAAATTTTGGACAGTGAGTATAACATACAGAAGCCATTTCAATATGGGCGTAAATCACTTCGTTCGTTTTAAATCCATCATGTAGCGATTTATGTTTTTTGATTGTTTTCGTGATATTGAACAAGCAGGCATTTTTTCTAGAAGATGGATGCTGTGAGGAGAAGATATGTTCGTCTCGTGCTGTTTCAAACATGTCGGTTCCGATGTGATTCAGGTCCTGATCGCCGATACTGAAAACCTGACGATACGTGGAAGCCTCAGGTGTAACATCAGAAAGATGTAATCCTCCTAACGACCCTTTCACCTGCCAATCATCACCTGAATAATTATAAATAGAGAGAAATATTGATAAATCACAAAAATACAAGAAAATGACTGATTCCTTAACCTTTAAGCGGTTAACGTCATTTTGGCGACATGACGTCAAGTGGTCAGGCTAAATAAAGGCTAAAGTGAAATATTTTGTGTGCCTATTTCAAAAGACTACAGCCGGATAATTATAAGTGATAGACTCTTGACACCAATAAAAAAGTTGAAGGGGATAAGTTGATCTATAATTTGCACCTTGTCTCTTGTTTTCTAAATCATTTTCATCAGAAAAATCGTCTTCAGAATCGGTTTCATCGATATATAATCCGAGTCGGAATCATTCATAAGCATTTCAACCACTTTTCCAGTCTTTAACCTTGTAGTTAAAGATGCATTATGTAAGATTTATATAAAGAGCTGACAGGTCTTGTTATAATAGTTCACAAATAGATAATGAAAAGGGAATAGGCCGAAAATTTCAGTCAAATTACTTCACTCTGAGCCGATAAATTCCCATTTCAATAACACTATAATCTCGATTATCATTGTTTCCGTTGTTACAATAATAAACAAAGTCTTGATAATCCATTCTTACGGTTAATCGCAGATCGGATTCAAATGGACCCATCAGATGGCATCAAGAGTTGAGTATACATGGTCTTGTCATGTTAATAAATGTCTTATCAAACATACATTAATCATGAGCTAAATCTGCCAATTGCAGGTCTTCCTTTAGGCCTTAAATGCTATATAAACTATTAATTAAACATTTATTAACATGGCAAGACAATAATCAACTCTCTATACCATCTGATTGGTATGATTTTAAACAGATTTTAATATGATCTGCAGATCATCGGCTGTTGATGATTGATCATAAAAAGGGATAAGCGATACTTTGTTTATTACTATAAAAACTGTAACAATGACAAGAACGTCTTACTGTTCTGCTTCATCTTGGCAAAATAAGACGGCCACCCCTAAAAATAACATAATCAGGTGTTTAGCGTCTGAATGTTCTGCTCTGAATGGGCAAATGAAGATAGGAAACCCCTAAAAACAACATAACGTCCTACTGTTCTGCTCCGACTGGGCTACTGAAGACGGGCATACACCATACAGTGTGCTATGAGGGAAAGTTTGCAAAGGGAGTGTATATCTGCACGCCATTGTGTACACAGGACTTCAGTTATTCGTCTCAGCTGAATGGCCATTAGAACTTTGAAATAAAATATTACCAAATATGGCTTCAATTTTAGCACACGACATAGTAGCTGTAGAAATCTTTCGACCAATTTTCTTTCCATTGTGTTCCGTGAAACGGGGCAGTAAAATATTGAGTCGTGAGAAATCTGCGTTGATGTGAAAATTATCCTCCTGGAAGAAAATTAAATAAATATGGTAAGATACGCTGCCAGACAATGAAACACATACGCCCACAGCAGCTAAATCGTCAGAGTAGTCGACAACACGGTTGTCGCATATTTATTATTTTGTAGATAATGGGGGCACTTAAAAGACACTGATATTAATAATAATAATAGTATCATCAATTATAAAGCGTGTTAATACTATAAAAAAAAGTTCCTAAGGCACTGTTGGTTTTTATATTCACTGATTATTTAAAGATCAGGGTTTTGAAATAAGAATGTTTTAAGTTGAGATTTACTGACTGTCGTAGTCTATTCCATAGAAAAGCATGTTTTCCAAGTTGTAAGTTAATAGTTGAAGATTTTAGAAGATGTTTTTTCTGAGAATGGAGATTTCTGCTGGTAGTATAGGGTTCTACAAGACTTTTTATATAAGATGGAGCTTGTCCGTTTAATGCTTTGAAGACGAAGAGGAGTGACTTGAACCTTAATTCTTTGTTGAATTGGGAGCCAATGTAAAGATTGCAATCAATACAGGGGAGATGTATGTGTTGATGTTTTCTAGTTTTAGTGAATTTTGAACATGTTGTAGTTTGTTAATTAACGGACCAGCAGATGGACGGGGGTGACAGCAACATACAACCACGATTTCATGTATTGTTGGCAGCCAAGTGCCTACTCTAATATCAAATTCCAACTGTCAAGGATCCTTTTACATGCACTCCAACACTGTAACCTGGGTAACATTTAATCTTGTGTATCTAGCACTCATTTCTTTCACATTCGTTTAATATCAAATCTTTGTTTAAAAATTCATAAAAATCATTTAAAATCACCAAAAATAATCTAATTTGTACTTGTGTCCAGTTTTTGGGATTAACATATGGTTCAATCTTAGTTCATTAATTCGCTTGAGTATAGTACAGACTGAATTTTCAGCAAATTTCCTTTACATTATCTAGTTTTTAACTATTATAGCGAGAACTGCCAGCTCTTTATCTAATCTCCCAAAATGTATCTTTAATCAATTAATTCACTGTAACCCAGGTATCATTTAATCTTGTGTATCTAGCACTAATTTCTTTCACATTCGTTTAATATCCAATCTGTTTAAAAATTCCTAAAAAATGTTTAAAACACCATAAATCGTTTAATTTGTACTTGTAGTCTCGTTTAAAGCTGCCCATTCAATTTTGATAATGAGTGTACAATTTACAAGCGTTTAATTTCTCAAACACTACTAAAAAATAAACAACCCAATTGATTAATGATGTATAATGGTCATGAAACTAAATACTTGTAAATTGGACACTCATTATCAAAATTAATCAGTCAGCTTTAAACTGGACACAAGTACAAATTAGATGATTTTTGGTGATCTTAAACAATTTTAACAAATTTTTAAACAGAGATTTGATATTAAACGAATGTGAAAGAAATTAGTGCTAGATACACAAGATTAAATGATACCTGGGTTACAGTGTAAATAAAGTCTAATTGTGAAGTACTCACTGTTTTATTGTCAACTATTTTACTCTCTTTCTTCTGTACAATATGTGGATTAGTTGTGGGTTTTCTGCCCTTGGCTGTGGGTTGTCTGCCCTTGGCTGCTGTGGTTCTGTTGAAGAAACTGATCAATTCCACCAACGTTTCCTGATTGGCTGAAAAATAAACCATCCCTTGTTCAAGTCAAAATAATAACTATGACAAGAATTGTGTGTGGGAGAGGAGTTCTATTTTTGCAACAAGAAACAAAAATAAAGATATTACAAAATAGGGAAATGAAATGAAATGAAATGAAATGGGGTTTAACGCCCTACTGTTCTGCTCTGACAGGGCTAATGCCATACAGTGTGCTATGAGGGAAATTTTGCCCGGGCAGTGCAATATGGCCTACTCTTATATCAAATTCCAACTGCCAAGGGAACTTTTATGTGCATGCCAATGTATACAAATTAGGGAGACACAGAGGCTAAGTGAGTAAGACGCTGGCTCGCTAGCCTGGAGGTCGTGGGTTCGATCCTGGTGCTGGAAGAGAAAGTTCATCTGGATTTTCTGGTGTGTTTTCCCCTTGTCAGTGGTGTAGGACCAAGGGCCTACAAGGACAGCTGTCTAGTCATTCGGATAGAACAAAAATAATGAGGTTCTGTGTACACATTGGCGATCATCATTACTAAAGTCTTTACAATAACGATTATCCATTTCATGATTAAATTATGAATGTAAGTCGAACAGGAAATTGGAACCTAATCCAATAAACATGGCAGGCTAGCGATGCCATCGAGAGTTGGTTATGGTCTGGATAAGTTAATTATTAATTTAGATAACATTTCAGGCCTAAAGAAAGACCTGCAATAGGCAGATTTAGCTCTTGCATAATGCTTTGTGAACTTGAAGCCAGGGGAGACAAATGCCAAGTTATCTTACCTATTAGATCTAGACTATTACACTGTAAGTTTAATATCTGCATGTCAGTCTGGACAGTCGAGTCCGCTTTCTCTGATTTTATTATCTCAAACTCCAGGGATATCAGCGCCTCCGCTATGTTCTCACCACTTCCTGTATCCATGGTAGCTATACTATGATCAGACAGGTCCTTGCCAACTGCACAACCTAACGCTGTAAAAATACAAGAGAATAGGCCTATGTATGGAAACGGTTTTATGTAGTTTTATTTCAAATTGTGAAAATTCATCTTACATCAATAGCTTGACATGGAAAAATAGTCTAGTTATTTGGATAGGACAAAAAACATATCTATACGACAACTTGGATATCGTTTAGTTGTGTTATTTTAGCAGGACTTTTTGTATTTAATGTTCAGTTTCAAACAATTGTTGGCAAACTGTTCAAATCTGTTGAGAATCACAGAAAACCATTCTACTGTTGTGTACTTTAAAATGGCCTGTCTAAATTAGATAATGAGTGTTGTTGAGTAATTGATACAAAAACTCCTGCTAAAACAGCACCTGAGTTGTAGTGTAAGGAACAAGACGTTGTTCTTTGTCAGGCCGTCTACTCTGCATCACGGACAATGGGGAAACAATACTGAAAAACCCCAAATGACTTTCTTGGTCAACCAGGGATCTCCTGGTTAGTGGGCTAGCACCTTACTCATTGAGCCGCAGTGGCATCATTTTTTATACAATGGACTGATAAACTGTCATTGACTGATAAACTGTCATGGACTGACAAACTGTCATGGACTGATAAACTGTCATGGACAGATAAACTGTCATGGACTGGTAAACTGTCATGGACTGATAAACTGTCATGGACAGATAAACTGTCATGGACTGGTAAACTGTCATGGACTGATAAACTGTCATGGACTAGTAAACTGTCATGCACACTGATAAACTGTCATGGACTGGTAAACTGTCATGGACAGATAAACTCTTATGGACTGGTAAACTGTCATGGACAGATAAACTATCATGGACTGATAAAGTGTTGTGGTCTGGTAAACTGTCATGCAGACTGATAAACTGTCATGGACTGGTAAACTGTCATGGACTGGCAAACTGTCATGCAGACTGGTAAACTGTCATGGACTGATAACCTCTTATGGACTGGTAAACTGTCATGGACTGGCAAACTGTCATGCCGACTGGTAAACTGTCATGCCGACTGGTAAACTGTCATGGACTGATAAACTGTCATGGACTGATAAACTGTCATGGACTGATAATATCACGAATGGGCGGAGTCACGTTTTAACGTTTTTTCTATCCAAGTGATAGAGTGATATAGGCCTGATATATATATATATAGGCCTAGCAATAACTTACGTCCTGCTGCTGTTACTTTATTAAAGGCCTGAGCAAATATGTCTTGCATAGCGTGTAAACTTCCCGACGGAAGACATGACATCTTTTCATCAACAGGAGAGTTTGGTGATCTAGGAGAGGAGGGTGAAGCAGTGTTTGATCCTCGTATACTTCCACTCGTACTATCCAACCTGAAATACATCAAATTAAAAATGTTTATTAATTTTTAGCGTTTGGATTCAATCAGATTTAGAATAAGCTTATCAGTTCTCAATCTGATTAAAATACAGATCTATATTTCATTTCATTTTTTATACTTTTGATGCCCTACACTACATGAAGATCTGACCGGTTATAGTGGGAGGTCACGTCCGAGGTCATGCAAGCGGCTATTTACCCTATGTCGTCAGACAATTTACCCTATGTCGTCAGACATTTCATTGACCAATCAGCTTTGTTTCTAGTGGATTACCATGCTGAAAGATCCTGAGGTACACCCTGATTGATCCCAGGACACTCTTCAGCTGCAGCTCCTAATTATATATGAAATATCAACTGTTTAGCCCTATTGAAACAATAAAATATAGCCACTTACACAAGGTTTTTATGTGAAGCTACTAGAAGTTCAAAATCATGTCCGTACGTCTGTAAAGCGTCGACTATAAGTAAACTATGTACTGTTAGAGAAAGGGAAGAGTTGAGTTTCTTCTGTGAAATATTCGCTTCAACACCCGTTACCTGCAACTCGACTAACGCTCGACCTGAAACAAAAACAAAATCATGATTGAACAGAACTGAAATAAAGTAGGGTTTAATGTCATACTTTAGAAGATACAAAATGCTGGGAGGGTAATATTGCGTTACTACTCTTTTTTCGAACTCCAACTGTCATAATGATAATGTATGATCATGACTAATCCTGATATTAGGTCTTAAGCAAATGAAATGAAATGAAATTCCATCCTCAAGTAATCTTGTATGTTAACGTCAACATGTAAACACATCAGTTCACTCAATGACAAACCTTGATACAGCGCGCACATGCTAACCATTCAGTCATCTCCCCTTCCCCCTCACCTAATGAAATGAAATGGGGTTTAAAGTCCTATACTGTTCTGCCCCTATACTGGGTTAATGAAGACAGGCATACGCCATACAGTGTGCTATGAGGGGAATTTTGCCCAGGGCAACGGCACTATGGCCTACAATTATCTCTTATATTGAATTCCAAATGTATACAACTAGATAGCTGTCCTTGTCCGGTCTCCTGTCCTGCACCACTGACAAGGGGGAACCGTGCTGAAAAATCCTGATGAACTTTCTCGGCCAATGCAGGGATCGAACATGCGACCTCCAGGCTAGTGAGCTAGCGTCTTAACCACTTAACCACCAATGCTCCCGCAAACAAATGAGTAGTCTTGTAAACCTAACTATATGTGATCCGTAATAAAACCCTTGCTATCCATTTAAATTCAAGACAATAATTCTTACATACAATCAGATTCATTTTCCGCCCCTTTGATATTATCTTATTTATGTTTAAATCCATTTTAAAATTAAACAAAACATAAAATAACAAGACATACCTCGACTCTGAACTTCAAGAGATAATTTATTGATGAAAAACTGGAAGACAATCAATTGTCCATCTACTCCACCATCTTCATTTTTACTGTTTCTGTCTTCACGACTAAAAAAAGTTTAAATAATATCCATTATACAGAGCAATAATATCTGTTATACAGAGTAATAATATATGTTATATGGGAGCAATAATATCTGTTATACAGAGTAATAACATCTGTTCTACAGAGTAATAATATCCATTATACAGAACAATAATATCTGTTATACAGAACAACAATATCCATTATACAGAGCAATAATATATGTTATACAGAACAATAATATCTGTTATACTGAGCAATAATATCTGTTATACAGAACAATAATATCTGTTATATAGAACAATAATATCTTATACAGAACAATAATATCTGTTATATAGAACAATAATATTCGTTATACAGAGCAATAATGTCTGCTATACAGAGAAATAGTGTCCATTATACAGAGAAGTTAAATTTGTAAATGGCCGACAACAGCAAAGAGTTGTAATCGTTTGGCAGCTATGTAATTGTGAGATTCCTTTTCTTCATACAGTGGACTCTTGTCACATCCGATCTGAATAATCGGGCACTCTGTGAAATCCGTCATCATTTTCGTGTACCGATTTATTTCCTTATTATTTCCGTACTCTGAATTTTCCGAATTACGACATCAATCAGCCGTCCTGTCACACAATTTCCACTGAATCAACACTGTATAATCCGGCCTTCAATCGGTGGGTGTGAAGCCACAAAAGATTAACAAGCAATCACCAATCAATTATCGATGAGATTAAAACTCGCTGGCGTAGGTCTTTGTTGATTACTTTGATAATTTTATAATCTCTTGTAAGACAGTTGTGACAAATACTCAAGAATACCCAAGAATTTTCCCACAAATTATTCACACTCGTAAAAATATTCCTAGCACCTGTTGGAAACATTCGTTGTGCATGCCGATTGAACCTGAATACCTAAGTTTGTTCACCCTACAGATCTATCCGAACCGTGTGGCAACGACCTGGACATAGAACGACAGATTATCGATGAACATGTGACACCAAAGACACATGTGCGACCAACTGAAGACGATGAAGAAGATAAATTAACGACAGACTTGACTTATTCTAAATGCCTACGCTGTTAAATGCAATAAATATTAATGTAATAAAGTTTTGAATGCACAGAAAGGTTTATCATTTTTAAAGGGAATAACTTTCTGAGTATTCGAAACTAAATTATAATAATACTTTCGGTTTTCGAAGTTACCGTAATACTGCCGATTTTGAGAAAACTGAGTATTCTGACACTCTGCGTAATCCGACATATTGTAACGATCCCGTACGATGTCGGATTTGCCAGAGTCCATTGTACATATTTTTAGAAAATTTTCCAAAAAGTTCATGTGAAGAGAGAGAGAGAGATTAACGTCCACTCGACACAAACTAGGTCATATCGGGACTAAAGTATGGTTTAATTTTATTTCAATAATTCACCATTTGGCCATCCCCCCCCCACACACACACCCCCCAATTCATGGTGAAAGTATGGTAGTATTTATATCAAATGATAAAATATGCAAAACATTCAAAATGCAACACTGTATGGTATAAAATACATGCATTAATCATTTGGCCACCCAACGGTTGCTAATGCTGTATCAGATTTCTATATGAACAAATAGAATACATACGATGAATCTGGTGGTCTGTCTGTTAATGAATCTAATGATGTACTGGACGATACTTGAGGGATCGATGACGCATCACTACTAGCAGACGTTACAGTCTCCCAACAATGGCGTAGAGCAGAAATCTGAAAATACATTTTTCGGATAAATATATATTCCAAATATGTGATCATACATAAAAATATTCAATTTTTGTTGCGCATTTAATGTGTTTGTTCATTAGACGACAACCTAGAAGATTCCATACCTAGGGGCTACCCTGAAGCTACTATCTAAAATAGGCTACTGTATACACATTGGAGCTAGCTACTCTTATTTTAATTTTCAAGTCATAAAGTACATACCCGACCCCAGTTTTGGGAGCCTTCCATATGGTTCAATTTTATTTCCATAATTCGCTTGAACATAGGGGTCTTTAGCAGTGGGCGGAAACCTGGGGACCCAGAGAAAACCACGAGGTTGGACAGACGACCCCACACCTTGTCAAGTACAACCGGGGAATTGAAACTGTGCCAGTTGACTCAATGACAGACTTTATGCTACAGCGTGCATGTGCTAACCATTCAGCCATCCAACCCCCCCCAATAACATCTAGAGTTTCAATATGTAGTGAACTAATTGTAGCAACTAACAAAAGGTCATCTTCATCTAAAATACTAATAAAGGATAAAATCAATACAAACCTTTTCTTCGTTCAGATGAAATGTCAGAAACGGAAGATTACCGGAGATTTTCATATTAGGAAAACGTGGATCAAACATTGCTACCAAACGCCTGTTATAAATATATAATATAAATTCAAAAATAAATTTTGTATTTTACGACACCCTAAAAGTTTTAAATTATACAATTCTTATTTCAATGGGCCTATGATATATGTAAAATTGTGCTCATTGATGGATGATCTAATCAAAATAAGGTTTTCCTTCAGGACATGTATTTCAAAATATATTCCAATACACCAGGACAGTAGTCACGAAACCTTAATTCTAAGGGTGTGGTCTTTTCATTGGTGAAGGGATAAAAAATACACCAGGACCGTATTCATGAAATGTTTTAATATCTTAAGGATATGGTACAACCTTTATAAAAAAAGACTGCTTTCTTAAATTGTCTTAGTTTAAGTTTTAGGAAATATGACTCTCGATTTTGGTCTGCAATACACTCTTAACATCTCATTTATCAGTAAATATTACCATAAAAAAAACCAAAACAAATAAATCTTGTATACCTCTCTAGTTGTAGGGAAATGGTGAATTTATCAATAACATGCATTTTACTTGTTCCTTTTGAATAGGCTTGTTTCCAGTTGTCATGACTACGACCTTGTAACACCTGAAGGTCAGTCAAATCTATGATGTATCTGAAATAAGTTAGTCAAATCCAATTTAAATCACATTTTGGCTGAATTATGACTCACAAGCACTGCAAGTCAAATCAGTCGTGCGTTTTTTATGTTTAAGTATTTTTGAAAAATCTTGATAAATACAGATTTTGACATGCCATTATTGTACAAAATTATCGCTTTACTCTTGTTGGCTCTCCTGAACATTTTACTAAATTCTGAGTATAACCTTTTGACTCCCAGCAATGTTATATATTACATTGAATATATACATATCTTTTCAACAAATCAGAAGTAAACATTTGTCGTGTGATCCCGTAAGTTTTCAACCAACAACTAAGATTGTCAAAAAATACAAGAAATAATAATAATTTATAATAACAAAGTTTGTATAGCGCTCTTCTACACAGATTGTATGGTCATAACACTATTTACAAAACAATACTAAACATAGTCTTCAGTGAGGATTTGAAAGTTGATAGGGATGGAAACTGGAAGTAGGAAGGTTATTCCAATGAGAAGCTGCTAGAAAGTGTGTAATGAAGCCTACATACCTTTCATAGAGATGATCCTGTAGAGTTTGTGATGATAAATCTGAAGGACTTGGTATATTATTAACATCAATCAAATCATTAGGTTCATTCGGTGGTGTTGATAACGGTGTATGAAAATCATCTGTTTTAAAATAAAATAAACATAAGTTGATAAATACAGGTAACAGCTTTACAATAATATCATCTACAGATAGAATGGTGCTCCACAAGGATCTGTTTTGGGGCCTTTATTGTTCAGAAGCTGGTTGGCTAATCATAAAGTCTGTCATTGAATCAAATAGAGTGTTACGATCATAAGCTTGTATAGAATGGTGTTCCACAAGGATCGGTTTTGGGGCCTTTATTGTTTAGAAGAGGGTGGAGCAAAAGAGTAGGATGTTAAACCCCATTTCATGCCAGGATTAAACAGCATCCTATAATAAACGATTGATCTATTCAATTACCTTCATTCACATCCTCATCCAATTTATGTGCACTAGACGATGCATGCTTCGTAGACTGTGACGTGAAGGTCTGTAGTTTAAAGTTGCCCAAATCTAATACGACACGCAGACAGTTTGGATCTGCTAAGTTTTCAGGAATAATAAATTTGGGTGCTGATATGTCCAGGTTGATATCCCAGCGGGCTTTACTTCTCTACAAAATGTCATAAAATATTTACAAAATTTAATGTACCTTACAATTTATCTATAAATAAAAATACACAAAAAATATTAAATCAAAAGTGAGAAATATCAAGCTAAATTCCTCCCGCTCTTAACATGCATCATGTAAGAGGTAAATCTGCCTATTGCAGGCCTTTTTTTAGGCCTTAAATGTTATATAAATTATCAATTAGACATTTATTAACATGCCAAGACCATAATCAACTCTTGATGCGATCGCTAGCCTGTGATATTTACTGGAATTGAATCTGATCTGCTGTTCAAGTTGATGATTAAATGCAAAAATTGATAATCAAGACTTTGTTAATTATCGTGACAGCGGAAACAATGGAGAGAGAGAGAGAAATGGTGTTGAACGTCCACTCAACACAAACTAGGTCATTTCGGGACTAACATATGGTTTAATTTTATTTCAATAATTCGCTTGCGCGTAGGGGTCTTTAGCAGTAGGAGGAATCGGAGAAACGGAAACAATGGTAATTGAGGCTACAATGATTTTAAAATAAGGTTTTCTCGGATTAGAGTGAAGTAATTTGACGGAAATTTTCTGCATATTTCCCTTACATAGTGTATCTTTAGCTAATGAATCATTCTGTTGTATTTCATTTTTGTCCAGCGGATGATCGAGTACAATATATAAGGAATTCTCCAAAATGAAAATGAAATGAAATTATGTTTAACATCCTACCGTTCTGCTCCGACTGGGCTAATGAAGATGGGCATACACCATACAATGTGCTATGAGGGAAATTTTGCCCGGACAATGGCGCTACTACTCTTATACGGCCTACACTTATAGTGAATTCCAACTGCCAAGGGCTCTTTTACATGCATGCCAATGTGTACACGAGACCTCGGTTTATCGTCGACGTTAACTCCATTTCTCTCTCGTTATCATAATAATTTTGTATCTTTGTTTTTCACCATTTTATCAACTGAGATGAAAGAAGATGATTAATCAACGTACCCCTTGATTTGATTCTAGAAACTGTTTCAATGTTTTCTGTAATTCTTCTTGTGTCTGTTTACGAAATGTTCTGAATTTATCATTTGATGCTAAAAATAGATTATAATATTACTAAAAATAGATTAATGATTTTTTAGAGGCATTTAGTAACTGGATAGAGCAATAAACTGTTAACTAAAGACTTACTATAATTATATATTCTTTATTAGCTATCAGACGTACGTCTGCCTTTCATGGTTACATACATAAAAGTTATGATCTACAGATACACAAGGACCGAGACGTCCTCTCACTGAACGTGCGCTATACAAATCTAATTAAACATACATTATGCAAGAGCTAAATCTGTCTATTGCAGGTCTTTCTTTAGGCCTGAAATGTTATCTAAATTATTAATTAGACATTAATTAACCTAGCCTGTGATCTGTAGTGGATTATGAGCCGATTTACTGCATAACTTTCCTTCAGGATTTAACGATTAAATGGATAATCGTACTGACTTTAGTAATGAAGAACGAGGCTAGGTGGAAATTTCATTTGCTTAGTTCTGGGTTCATAGTGGATCAATTTGAATGAAATTTTCAGCAAATTGCCTTTATGTTATCTAGTTTTAACTATTATAATGAGAACTGCCAATTCGTTATCAAATCTCCCATAATGTACATGTATCTTGAATGTTCATGAGTCTGACATAAACTTATAAGTATGTGTTATAGTTTATTAAAAAATAGATTATATCGTTAGTACTTGTTACAAACATTTTAATCATCATATAAACCTCCTTGCCTAACACCGTAACCTGGGTATCACTTAATTTTGTGTATCTAGCACAAATTTTTTTCACATTCATTTAATACCAAATCTTTGTTTAAAAATTCCTAAAAATCGTTCAAAATCACCCATAGTCATCTAATTTGTACTTGTGTCCAGTTTAAATCCGATTGATTAATTTGATAATGAGAGTTCAATATACAATTTCAAAAATTAATAATTATACATCAATAATCAATTTGGTTGTAAATTGGACACTCATTATCAAAATTCAGTCGTCATCTTTAAAGTACAAATTAGATGATTTTCAGTGGTTTTAAATGATATTTACTAATTTTGAAACAAAGAGGGAGAGAGAGAGAGAGAGAAATGGAGATTAACGTCCACTCGACACAAACTAGGTCATTTCGGGACTAACATATGGTTTAATTTTATTTACATAATTCGCTTGCGCGTAGGAGTCTTTAGCAGTGGGAGGAAACCGGAGGACCCGGAGAAAACCCAGGAGGTTGGACAGGCGACCCTACTCCTTGCCACGTACAACCGGGGATTCGAAACCACGCCGGTCGACTCAATGAGAGACTTTATGATACAGCGCGCGCACGATAACCATTCAACCATCCAACCCCCCAATTTTGAAACAAAGACTTGATATTAAACAAATGTGGAAAAAATTAGTGCTAAATACACAAGATTAAATGATACCCAGGTTACAGTGTATTTTACTTTCTGATGCTAAAAATAGATTATATCTTTAGTACTCATTAAAAATATTTTAACCTTCATATAAACCTCCTTGCATAATATACATCCTGGTGCTAACAACAGATTGTATTATTGGCATTATTAAATCGTAGAATCTATCTGTAAAACACTGTGATAAATACGGTAATTGTATTTACAGACAAACTTGTTGGTAAGCCCCAGTGATTATAATGGCATTAACAAATAATCTTGTAGGATCTCTGTAAGCCACAGAGAAAAATATTACTAATTATAACTTACCTATAGAATCTAGTCTATGGGAACCAGATGATGGCAGAGCAAAAAATTCTTTTATCTTCTTAAGAAATATTGGATTGTAAACAATATCTATTGGTCTTGTTTTTATTGAAGCTCTGTAAAAGAACAAAATTATAGTTAAAGATACATTATGTATGTAAGATTTAGATAAAGAACTGACCAATCCTGTTATAATAGCTCAAAAATAGATAATGTAAAATGAAAATATTGAAAATTTCATTTAAATTACTTCATTCTGAGCCAACTGTAGTTTTGACAATATGTGTGCATAGTGGTAACCTAGGCACTGGTATATTCGAGACTTAGCCTCGCTTTTCCATTTTTAAATTAAATTTTTAAATGGCAAACCATTCTAATGTAGTTAAAATCTTGAGTATTCAATGCCATCGAGAGCTGATTATGGTCTTGTTTTGTTAATAAATGTCTAATTAATAATTTACATAACATTTCGGGCCTAAATAAAGACCTGCAATAGGCAGATTTAGCTCTTGCATAATTTATGTTTAATAAATATATCAAGGGAAAATGCATAAACTATTTAGTTGCTCTTAATTGTGCACAATCAAGCTGTAGTGATCAAGCTGCAAGCACAGGGTAATTCTGTAAATGGGGATCAAGCCAAGATGCTGCACTACTGATAAATGGAAACCGTGCCAGAAAATTTAAGGAATTTTCTCAGCGAACTGTGGGAATAAACACAAGACACCCCAGTTAGCAAGTCGGCGCCTAACGTACCAAGTCAACACAGTTCTCTGAATCCAAGACATTCTAATCAAGGGTCTTTTGTTTTATGCTTGACTACCATAGACCCTTGACTACCATACACCCTTGACTACCACACACCCTTGACTAACATATACCATTAACTACCATAGACGCTTGACTACCACAGATCCTTGACTACCACGGACCCATGACTACCACAGACCCATGACTCATGACTACCACAGACCCATGACTACCCCAGACCCTTGACTACCATAGACCATTGACTACCACAGAACCTTGACTACCCCAGACCCTTGACTACCGCAGACCCTTGACTACCGCAGGCCCTTGACTACCACAGACCCTTGACTACCACAGACCCTGTACTACTATAGACCCTGGACTACCAAATCCTTGACTACCACAAACCCTGGATAATTTTATATTGATGTACGAACCTATATCTGTGGAAATGTGTCACAGGATTTTTTTCAAAAATAATTTGACAGAATGGTGAATCAGTTTCACTGGAGTCTAATTTTATTTTACTTTCTGGTTTTTCCTGAAAAAAGTAAAAAATCAAATAACAGTTTCTACATATATTTTAATAATTATTTGGGCTTCTAAAGAACCTATTGATAGCCCTCTTCTTATACAAAAATAAATTGCAATATCCATGATTCGACATACTGCAACAAAGATCTTCTACAATACAAACTTCAGTGTATCAGAATTTTCACTCTATTATCATTCTGTTTACAAATAGAAATGAAATGAAATGGGGTTTAAAAAATTTAACGTCCAACTGTTCTGCATATGCTATACAGTTTGCTACATGTATGAGGGACCAACTGGGCTAATGAAGACGGTTATACACCATGCAGTGTGCTAGGTGGGAAATTTTTCCCAGAAAGTGCCTCTACGGCTTACTCTGATATCGAATTACAACTTACAGGATCTTTTAAGTGCATACCAATGTGTACACAGGACATTGATTTTTATTTTTCCTTTCCAAAACGACTATAGCTTGTTTTACTCATAGAGCCACCATGGGTCCAGTTTGTGATGATTAAGGGGGGTTGGATGGCCGAATGGTTAGTATGTGCGCGTTGTATCATAAGGCCTGTCATTGAGTCAACTGGCGTGATTTTGAATCCCCGGTTGTATGTGACAAGGAGTAGGGTTGTCTGTCCAACCTTGTGGGTTTTCTCCAGGTCCTCCGGTTTCCTCCCACTGCTAAAGACCCCTATGCGCAAGCGAATTATTGAAATAAAATTAAAACCATATGTTAGTCCCGAAGTGCCCTAGTTTGTGTCGAGTGGACGTTAAACCCCATTTCTCTCTCTCTTATGATGATTACTTTTCTTTTCATTCATATCATTTATTCTTTAAAATTCAATTGAACAAGTTTGTGTAAATCATTTGACATTTCAGATTATTATTTGCTGTACTGAAATTTTAGTTTGGTGTCATAGAGAGAGAGAGAGAGAGAGAGAAATGGGGTTTAACGTCCACTCGACACAAACTAGGTCATTTTGGGACTAACACATGGATCAATTTTATTTCAAATAATTGTTTGCATGCAGGGGTCTTTAGCAGTGGGAGAAAACCGGAAAAAAAATATGAGGTTGGACAGGCGACCCTACTCCTTGTCATTTACAAATGGGGAATCAAAACCAATGACTACATTCACACTACCAATTCAGCCTTACCTGAATGCTATACTTTAAAGACATGTCTAAGGCACCTGTCATAGACATTGTCCAGTACAAATTATCACACAATGTATATACACGAGTCTGGACATATACAGGCACTGGCCATAGACTTTGTCAGACACAAACCATAATATATACATTGTGTGATCCGTCTTCATTAGCTCAGTGAAAGCAGAACAGTAGGACGTTAAACTCCATTTCATTTCATTTCATTTATTAAAGAAAACATGTGAAAATTATTATATTAATAACTCACCTGAGATTGTGGCCAGATCAAGTAGGCAAAGGCAGGGAAATTGTTTGATGTATCTTTCAGTTGCAGACCTTGTACTGCCAGTGAAAACTTCATGGCGCTAGTTCTTGGTCGTGATTCAAACTCCATAGTTATCGTTGAACACTGTAGATCAGCAAGAGAAACACGTGAACTTCTCTCTATAAATAATAACACTGGTGTAATTATAGACAATAACAATGATCTAATTACAGGCAATAACAATGGTGTAATTAAAGATAATACAATGGTCTAATTAAAGATAATAGCAATGGTCTAATTAAAGATAATAGCAATGGTCTAATTAAAGATAATAACAATGGTCTAATTCAAGATAATAACAATTGTCTAATTAAAGATAATAACAATGGTCTAATTAAAGATAATAACAATGGTCTAATTAAAGATAATAACAATGGTCTAATGAGAGAGAGAGAGAGAGAGAGAGAGAGAGAGGCGTTAACATCCACCCGACACAAACCAGGTCATTTCAAGACTGACATATGTTTCAATTTTATTTCAAAAATTTGATTGCGCATACAGGTCTTTAGCAGTGGGAGGAAAACGGAGAACCCGGAAAAAACACATGAGGTTGGACAGGTGACACTACTCCAGAACTCTTTATTACATCGTTATTACACCCAAATATAATCTTTACCTGATTCTGACTTGGCACTTTCCAATAACTGAAATGATCCTTTACTTAACGTGAACTTCATCTTGGCAAATACTGTATCCTTACGCAGGAATGAACTATTTTCTGTTGAATCCTGAATAACATCCATTATTTCTCTTTCTATCTCCGTGGAAACAGCAGATTGTACTTTAAAAAGCTCTGATTCTGATTGGTCAATTGATTTGAGGCTAACTTCTGATTGGCTAGGACTGATGTTTTCTGTTGCTATGGATGTCTGTGACCATCCTCCCCACCCAGGGAACCATCTCTGGAATAATCCCGGTTGATTTGCAGGAAGCTTCTCATGTTTTATGGCCTCGTTGGAAGAATCAGATTTTGGTAATGAATGGGAAGATGTTGACTGGAATATAAGAATTTAATGAAATGAGATGAAATGGGTTTTAACATCCTACTGTTCTGCTCAGACTAGACTAATGAAGACGGGCATACACCATACAGTGTGCTATGAGAGAAATTTTGCCTGGGCAGTGGCACTATTGCCGACTCTTATATCAAATTGTAACTGCCAAGGGATCTTTTATGTGCATGCCAATGTGTACACAGGACCTTGGTTTTCTGTCCCATCCGAACAACAAGACAGCTGTCCTTGTCAGGACAATCCCTGGCATCTTGAAAGCTGTCAGTAAAAATAGTTTAAACCGAAAGTTTACCTGAAATGTTGATAATTTATTCTCTGTTTGTAACCTGGATAAAACCAACTCTCGTATTATCTTTAATTCTTCAAAATCTAATTCTTTCTCTATTTCCAACTTGCGATTCTAAATTCAGAAATAATAATAATAATCATAACCATAATAAACAATAGGGGTTTTATATATATATTGGGGCTATATAAGGCTTTTCTCTAATTCCATTCAGATATCCAATAAACAATAGTGGTTTTATAGGGGCTAAAGCTTTTCTCTAATTCTCAATATAAATTCTATCTGAAAAAAAGAAATAATTATGATATATAATCATGAAACTGTAACACATACTTTTGGAAAAACACACTAGGGATTTGGTATCGTTTAGAACGGGTTTTTTAGCGCTGGAAAGTATGCATAGCGTTTACTTTCAAAACATCGTTGGTTTATTGATAAAAATTTATGTAATTCTTAAACGATTTTTATCAATTATCGAACGATTTTTTGAAAGTAAACTCTATGCATACTTTCCAGGGCTAAAAACCCCGTTCTAAACGATACCAAATCCCTAGTGACAGCTACTAATTGATTTTTTCGGAACAGGGGGCTGTTTCACGAAATTTTAACTAAGATAAAATCCAAATTTTAGTAATTTGATTGGATAATATTAGACTGATTTTAGTGCTTAGCCAATCAAAATTGAAGTATCTACTAAAATTTGGATTTTATCTTTAGTTAAAATTTTATGAAACAGGGCCCTGGACAAACCCTTGCCGAAGATTCAGCGACTGACATATCACAACCTTCCAACATACCTCATTATGCTGATTGGTTATTCCTTCTGTCAGGTGAGACAAGTAGCTATCATAATAATCTACTAGAATCCGTGATCTTTCTAAAATAAAATCCCATGTATTATGTCGACGTTCTTCATGGATCCGACTCAGATGACAATGGATGGCAAACTTCCACCATTTACGTGGACTGCAAAAAATTAGTTACAAATAATGAAATGGGTTTAAACACTATAACCAGGGTATAATTTAATCTTTGGTATTTAGTCTTAATTTCTTTGACATTCATTAGATATTGGCCCTGCTTGATTTGTCAATACCGGCGCCTACCGGCTGACCACAGTTCGACAGTTTTTGCGCGAGGTCACTTGATTTCACTGGAGGTCGACAAAAGTTCCGCTGCGGCGTACGCCGAATGCGACGCTTTGGCGGCAGCGGCGAACACCGGCGCAAGATGGTGAACATGTCAACGAGATAAAATTCACATTATTTAGGAATGCCATAAAACACTAATTTTAAAGCGTTAGAATTAAACCAAATGTTTTGAAGTTGAATTTGAGCTTCATAAAACCAGAAGTTCATATGTCATTTATTTTTTCTCAGTAATATTACTAATAATAATTTTCTGCTTATTTTGCGGGCACTTTCAAGTCATACTTTCAAGATTACTGTTTTTGATTAAAACATGTCATGTAACCGGTTTAACATCTGGACTAACATATAGTTAAATTATATTTCAATAATTCGCTTATGCATAGGGGACTTAAACTGAGGGAGGAAACCGGTGGACTTGCAGAAAACCCACGAGGTTGGGCATGCAACCCTACTCCGTAAATCAACAACAGACCTTATGATCTTATGTGCATGTGTTAAATCAATCGTCCTGCCCCTTGACCCCTATTAGAAAAGAGAGAGAAAAGGGGTTTAACGTCCACTCGACACAAACTAGGTCATTTCGGGACTAACACATGCTTCAATTTCATTTCAATAATTCGCTTGAGTGTAGGGGTCTTTAGCAGTGGGAGGAAACCGGAGGACCCGGAGACAACCCATGAGGTTGGACAGGCAATCCTACTCCTTGTCACATACACCCGGGGATTCAAAACTACGCCAGTTGACTCAATGACAGACTGTTTGATAACCATTCGGCCATCCACCACCCCCTACCCCTATTAGAAGAGAGACCTACCTTTGTTTAACTTTATTATTTGGTCTGTTTTTCCGATATTTCCGCCTGCGATTATGTCTATCGAATTCTCGGTTCCACAAACCAAAATATTTAAACTGATCTTGACCCAGTTTGAAATCGATGGCCTCCATCGTGAAATTAACAGATATACGGGGCGTGGAAGAGGAACGTAGAGGTAGGGCTGAAGTAAAGCGTTTAACCTGAGCTTTGGCACTGATTGGCTGTAGAATGTAGTCATGGCGATCCTGGTAAAATAGTTTGAAGAATGTAAACTAAATACAACAAGCCAACAGTGAGGCTGATGTCCCCCGCCGAAATAGGAAAATAATTAGAGGACACATATAAATTTATCACAAATAAGCGGAACGGACAGACAGACAAACAGACAGACAGACGGACGAACCCATTTTAATAGTTCCCTGCTTTCTTCGAAAGGCGGGGGACAATCAAAGTAGGAGAGTTATTGTTTTCCAAAGTCTCGACCAATCAAATTGCGTATCGCTCTGCTTACCCTGAGCAGAAAATGCTCATTATCAAACTTAGTCAAGGTATTACTGTAATGAAACTATACACCAAGTTTCATCAATCTCACTTAATTAGAACTAAAGTTATCGTGTCCCAAAGCATCAACCAATCAAATTGCTTATCTCTGCTTACCCTAAGCGGAAAATGCTCATCTTCGAACTCCATCAAGGCATTGACCTAATCAACACATACACCAAGTTTGAACATTCTAGCTCAATTAGGAAGAGAGTTATCGTGCCCCAAAGTATCAACCAATCAAATTGCTTATCTCTGCTTACCCTAAGCGGAAAATGCTCATCTTCGAACTCCATCAAGGCATTGACCTAATAAACACATACACCAAGTTTGAACATTCTAGCTCAATTAAAAGTTATCGTGTCCCAAAGCATCAACCAATCAAATTGCTTATCTCTGCTTACCCTAAGCGGAAAATGCTCATCTTCGAACTCCATCAAGGCATTGACCTAATCAACACATACACCAAGTTTGAACATTCTAGCCCAATTAGGAAGAGAGTTATCGTGTCCCAAAGCATCAATCAATCAAATTGCTTATCTCTGCTTACCCTAAGCGGAAAATGCTCATCTTCGAACTCCATCAAGGCATTGACCTAATAAACACATACACCAAGTTTGAACATTCTAGCTCAATTAGGAAGAGAGTTATTGTGTCCCAAAAAGTGTGACGGACAGACAGACGGACAGACAGACGGACGAACCCATTTTAATAGTCCCCTGCTTTCTTCGAAAGGCGGGGGACAAAAATTAATTTATGAGAGAAAGATATGAGGACCCTTTTTTTTTTGTCCCATTCAAGCGACTAGACACTGTTCCTTGCCAGGCCCTTTGTCCTGCTCCACTGGCAAGGTGAGATCATGCAGGAAAATCTCACAGAACTTTCTCTGCACCACTGGCAAAGTGAGATCATGACAGAAAATCTCACGGAACTTTCTCTGCACCACTGGCAAGGTGATATCATGCCGGAAAATCTCACAGAACTTTCTCTGCACCACTGGCAAGGTGATATCAAGCCGGAAAATCTCACAGAACTTTCTCTGCCAATACCGGGATCGAAATTGCGATCTCCAGATTATTGACCCAGAAACTTACTCGACAAGTCATTTCAGCTCCCAAATCCAATAACAAAACCCAGACTTATGTAGTAGAGGAAATTAAATGAAATGAAATTGGTTTAACCCGTTAAGCATGACGTTTTTAAAACGTTAACTACCCCTTATTGTGTAATTAATTTGACGAAGTGACGAAGAACTATGTACTAAGTTCTAAGAATAGGTTGGGGAAAATACCTCCAAGGCGTTATATTACGCGCTACACACAGTGAGTGGCAGTTGTCCAGGATGTTATATAACGACCTACGCTCTTAACGGGTTAACGTTCTACTGTTTTGCTTGAACCGGTGTGCTAGGAGAGGATTTTTGTCGGATAGCAGTGCTAGGACCTACTCTTATATCGTATTCCATCTGCCAACGGATCTTTTACGTGCACACCAATGTGTACATGGGGACCTCAATTTTTCGTCTAAACGACTAAACCTCTGTCCTTGTCAGGCCCTCGTCCTGCAACACTTACAAGGGCAAAACATGCCGGGAAATCAGTACAAACTTTCTTGCCCACCACAAGAGTAGAGTAAACCTATCCAACTTACTTTCTCTTTAGTGTAATTCAACATGTCTGCCTGCATAGCAACCTGAAACATGTCAACAATGCTTAAAAATACATTATGCAAGAGCTAAATCTGCTTATTGCAGGTTTTTCTTTAGGCCTGAAATGTTATCTAAATTATTAATTAGACATTAATTAACTTAACCAGACCATAATCAAGTCTCGATGTTTATTGGATTAGGATACCATATGCTGCTCCACTTTCATTCTTGATTTAATCATGAAATGGATAATTGAGACTATGTTTTTTATCGTACCGACTTAAGTAATAATGATTGAGGCTAGGCCGAAAATTCAATTGCTAAAATCTCAGTTAAAAGTGGATCAATTTGACTGAAATTTGCTATTATAGTGAGGACTGACAGCTCTTTATCTAATATCCCAGGTGTATCTTTAATTCTTATATCTATGTATTAAAGCTGGGCCTATAAAACCGGCAAAGTTTTCAATAAATGATATGAAATGGAGGTAAACGTCCTACTACTGTTGTGCTCCGACTGGACAAATAAAGACGGGCATATGCCAAATTTTTCCCGGGCAGCTGCGCTACAGCTTACGCTTGATTCAAATTTCAACTGTCAACGTGTTCTTTTATGTCTGAATGACTATATGCTGTTCCTTGCCAGGACATCCCTGTCCTACACCACTGAGATCAATGCACATAGAAGTCATAAGATAATCACGCAACCATCAGAAATATGTCACGACAGCAGCTTATCTGATAAAGAAAAAGTGGATGTTGACAAAATTTGAGAAGGCGCATCTTCAAGAAATCTGACATCTATCGTGTTTACAAGCTTCAAAAATTTGGTTATTTGCACAGTGTTGCATCTATGCTGAATAGATCCCAATGCTTCCAACCAAATCTGAAAAGATTCTGTTAACAACTACAGACATAAGGTTTTAGAGAAAAGGGGGCATAACTCTGGTATGAACAGTAGGATTTGACCACTCCTCACACTGTAGCTAGGGTATCATTTAATCTTGAGTATTTATCCCTAATTTCTTTCTCATTCATTCAATATCAAATCTTTGTTTGAAAAATCGTAAAAATCATCTTATATCAAAGAAATTATCTAATTTGTACTTGTGTCCAGTTTAAAGCTGACCGTTCTATTCTGATAATGAGCATCCAATTTACAACCGTTTAATTTCCAGATCACTGTTAAAAAATGAACAAGATTAAATGATACAAGGGTTACAGTGTTATGACCACAAAATTTGAAATTTATTAATCCAAAACTGTTGTGTCTATCCAATTCATAAGCCAATGGACAAACTGACGGACAGGATGACAACTGAAATGTAGGTCTATAAAAATGATATCTTACAATAAATTTTGATTGTGACAGTGATCCTATAAGTTTTGTATCAACATCGCAATAGACGGAACAATTATTCAAATCGACTAATTTATACATCACATCACCATGATCTTGTACATATACAGGTTTCTGGAAGAAAACAAACAATTCATTTTAAACAGAGAAATGAAATGAAATAAAATGAAATGAAATGGGGTTTAACGTCCTACTGTTCTGCTCCTATACTGAGCTAATGAAGACGGACATACGCCATACAGTGTGCTATGAGGGAAATATTGCCAGGGCAGCGGCACTATCGCCTACTCTTATATCAAATTCCAACTGCCAAGGGATCTTTTACGTGCATTCCAATGTATACAAAGGACCTCGGTTTTTCATTTCATCCGAAGGACTACACAGCTGTCCTTGTCAGGCACTCCGTTCTGCATCACTGACAAGGGGGAACCACGCCGGAAAATCAGGATGAACTTTCTCGGCCAATGTAAGGATTGATTTTAAAGAGAGAAAGAGAGGGACACACACTAAGTAATTTCGAGACTAACATGTGGTTCAATTTTATTTCAATAATTTGCTTGCACGTGGGAGGAAACAGGAGGATCCGGAGAAAATCCAAGAGGTTGGACAGACGACCCTACTTCTTGTCCCGTACAACCGGAGAATCAGAACCACACCAGTTGACTTAATGACAGCACATATGCTAACTATTCGGCCATAAACCCCACAATTTTAAAGATGCAGTATGTAACATTTAGATACAGAGTTGGCTAGAATAGTTCAAAAACAATCTGATTAAAACACAGATCCTATTCCGTTTCTTTTTTTTATAGTTCAAAATTTTGTTTTATTTGTCTTTACTACACTAGGATCTGGAAGAGTTGTTATATAACCGGTGTTCTGGATGATGTGAGGGGTTAGCTAATGAAACGGTCTGTTACCCAAACGAATATGACCGCTAGCCAAATCACCGCGAAATAGGGTGTTTCGCGGTGTATTACAGTGTTTCGCGGTGGAACACGGTGAATTGTTTGAGTGCCGATATTATCCCGATTTAAGCATGTTGAAAAAAAAAGTAATTTATTTCAGTTAAATACAAGGTATGTTAACCGTTGGCAAGGAAGCTAGGGTCGGATTCTTTTTCTAACGCACTGTATACATGCATTACGTGGGGCCAAAATGTATGCAAACTATGAACAACTTAGAGAAAAAGCGCCGCAGAATCTAAGAGAATTCAAAGTGGTTTTTTTCGCCACATCGCCGCGATTTCGGTCCCAAATATTTGGGAGGAACTGTAGTTCCTGTATTGTAGTTCTTGGACATTATTAATTTCAAGAAAGATTTCTTCGACTTACCCCATCTTTATTGGTTGACTGGGCACTAAGATGGCTGATAATTACACCACAAGCAAAGGGGGACTCGGGATTCATTTTATCATCTTCGTAGCGAAAATGGACATTTTTTACATTTAGCTGAAATATAACATAAAAATATTTTGTTACTAGAAATAATGACCTTATAGTCCGGGCAAGAAGATAAAATGAAATGAAATGGGTTTTAACGTCCTACTGTTCTGCTTCGACGGTCATACATCATACACTGTACTATGTGAGAAATTTTGCCTGGACAGCGGCACTACAGTCTACTCTTGTATCAAATTCCAACTGTCAAGCGATCTGCCCCTGAATGATTCATATTCATTAAAGATACAGTCTGCCAATATTGAAAGGAACCACGCAAAATCAGATATAAATTGTGATCTGCAGTGTCCACAAACAATTGTGAACAGACATCCAGACAGATAGGGGCAACAACAATATATATCCACATAAAAATATTAACGTATCAAAATATGTGGATTAATCATACATTATGCAAGAGCTAAATCTGCCTACGGCAGGTCTTTATTTAGGCCTGAAATGTTATCTAAATTATTAATAAGATATGAATTAACCTATCCAGACCATAATCAACTCTCGATGTTTATTGGATTAGCAGTGACCGCCCTAGACTCTTAAAACCTTTAGCCAAATTTTTAGCCAATTCAAAATTTTATTAGCCAATTCAGAAAGTTTTAGCCAAGTATTTTATATCATTTTTATTCATATGTTTGTTAATTAAAAATGAAAATAAATGTGTGTGTGTGTGTTTGTTGTATTTTACGTCCGCTTCCACCGAGGTGATATCGCGGACAAAATAAATGTTTAATATGTACTTTTATTTTATGATCAGTAGTGGAATATCGCGTTTTATCAGTGAAATAAAAGTGTTATTCCACTGGCTAGTTGTTTTTACCTAAAATGATTGTAAAATCATAAAATAAATAGAACATTTGTCGTTTTGTCGTGAATAACATATTTTATTTCATCTCTAAGCAAGAAAACGTTTATGTTTTCACTCATGCTACGCATTCGTGAAAATATAAGTTTTCTTGCTTCTCGATGAAATAAAATATGTTATTCACTCTAAAACGACAAATATCCTCTATATATAGTACACAAGAATATTATTTTATCTCCTTGTTCATGCAAAAGTTCACATTATTGAGAGAATGAATGCAGATAACAAAAAAATGTTTATAGGACGTACTTCACACTAATCACAGTCACATGATTTAATTTACTTCATCGTCATAACAGAAAAGACACGACGATTCTTTTTAAGACACCGCTGATTTGAAATTTATGTCCGGTCCATCCATTTTTATAAGCATGAGGTCATTGAGGGTTAGCTCGACGGTCTCGGTTAAAGGTCTAATTTTTGTCCACATGTTGATGAAGCCAACGAAGGACTTGCGTCCGAGATGACACGCTCACTCACGGAAGTAGATTCTGGACTAACAGTAGTCGTAGGAAGGAAAAAGGAATCTATCCTTATTTTGGGTTTACTAGTATTAGTTGTCATTAATGTGCGTTTTATTTATTTGCTGCGTAAGTAAAGAAAACTTGTAGTGAAGCGAATGTAAACAACGCAGTGCCACACAAAAGGGGCGTAACTGTGTTTTATAGTCTCCAGACTCGATCTTTCGGTCGTTTTAATGCGTAATATTGTAACATTGACTGATTTGCGACTTGTAAGATTGAGACTAGAGTAATTAATGTACTAAAAATAGACACTCCATTGAGTCGATCGAAAGAAGCGTTTAACGAGACGATTTCAAGTTTAATATTAGCAGATTTACGAAATAACACTCTCTAAAATTCATTCGCCAAATTTTTCGCCAGTATCATCACTTTATTCGCCAATAAAAATAATTGTCGCCATTGGCGAATTGGCGAATGTCTAGGGCGGTCACTGGGATTAGGATACCATTTGCTGCTCCACTTTCATTCTTGAGACAGAAAGAGAGAGAAATGGAGTTTAACGTCCACTCGACACAAACTAGGTCATTTCGGGACTACTTTCATTCTTGATTTAATCATGAAATGGATAATCAACTCTATCTCAATGCCAGCGTTAGCCTGCGATATTTAGTGGATTAGAATACGTTTTGTGATTCAGACTCTACATATTATTGTACCAAAGGTAGTAACGCCGATCAAGGCTTGTCTAAAATTGGACCACTAGTATCTCAATTCAGGGTGTAGCAATTTGACTACTGGATTTCTAGATCTAAATCCAATCTGCTGATCAACATTCATTGATGATTAAATCCAAAAATGGATAATCGAGACTATGTTTTTTTATCATACCGACTTTAGTAATCATGATCAAGGCTAGGCCTAAAATTCAATCGCTAATATCTTTGTTCAGAGTGGAGTAATTTCACTGAAATTTTCAGTATATTCTATTTACGTTATCTATTTTTTGTCTATTATAGTGAGAACTGTCAACTCTTTATCTAATCTTACATAATTCCCCTTTAATAAAGCTACATTTGTTAGAGAAAAAAAATATTAATAGGTGTGGTCATCAGTAGTAATTATCTATTTCATGGGTGAATTCCGGTTTATTATAAATAATTATTAACTTTTATAGTCTATTAAAAATATGTGGATTCATCATAAAAATTCAAATCAATAATAATAAAGTATATCAAATGATTATTAAAAACATTATTCTAGATATTTTAATACTATAGCAAAAAAATCAATATATACGCAAATTATCTATGTAATGTGTTTTGTGTGACCCAAATTAAAATTAATATTTTATGTTGATCTTTTGAATGTTAGACTTATTATATTGTAATCTAACCTTTTTTTGAGACAACAGCTTGTATTTCAAATGGTTATTTTTGCTACATAATTCACAATAAACCCAACTAATAGTTCTGATGCACCATTTTAAGGCAATAGTAACTTCCACTCAACACAAACTAGGTCATTTTGGGACTAACATATGGTTCAATAACTAACTTTAGTCGAGAGAGGAAACTGGAGGTCCCAGTGAAAACCCACTACAAGTGTGTGATCGAAACCACGTCAATGACTCAGGGACAGACCGTAAACCAACAAACCTGTATATTTTCTAGTATATTGGTTGCCATGGAAGTACCATATGAAAACCATGACGATGTCGCCCATTCCTGTTTATCCTGCCGTAATATCTGAAAAACAATCAATCATATTAAACAACAAAATGTACATCAATTTCCATGAGGCGCAAGAAATCAAACCAATAATATTTTATAGAAAGAGCGAGAGAAATGGGGTTAAACGTCCACCCGACACAAACTAGGTCATTTCGGGACTAACATATGGTTCAATTTAATTTTAATAATTCGCTTGATAATAGGGGTCTTTAGCAGTGGGTGGAAACAGGATGACCCGGAGAAAACCCACGAGGTTGGTCAGGCGACGCTACTCATTGTCACATACCACCGGGGATTTGAAACCACGCCAGTTGACTCAATGACAGACCTTATGATACAGCGCGCACGTGCTAACCATTCGGCCATCCAATCATCCTCAAGTTACAACAGGCGCAAAAAAAACTTCAAAGGTTTTAAAATGAAATGAAATGGGGTTTAACGTCCTACTGTTCTGCTCCGAACTGGGCTAATGAAGACCGGCATACGCCATATAGTGTGCTTTGAGGGAAATTTTGCACGAACAGCGGCACTACAGCCTACTCTTATATCGAATTCCAACTGCTAAGGGACAAAGGTTTTAAAAAGAAAAATAGTGT